TACGTAATCATTTTCACTTCATATCATATCATGATAACAAGTGAGGTCTTCAAAAGTAGACGGGTATTCTGCAATCGCGCCTATGCAAAACACTATGTATAGCTATAATCAAACCTAAATAAACGTAAATACCAATACTGGCAACAGTAATCGCCTTTATTATTGAAATTTCAGAACGAATCTTCGCCAACACAAACCAATATATATTAAATTTGCTGCGCTTGTTTTTATGAATATACAAGCAAATTTAAAAACAATACAGCGGCATAAGCCCTGGTATCCTAGTAACAACTCAAAACAACTCAGGAATGTAAAATGGCAGCAAGAAGCGAAGTGGCGAGCATATTTTGGGCATGAAAATGCTATGTCTCAAGGTGTTTGGGAACAGGTTTAAGCAAGCCGTTGAGCCTTTAAATGCTGCTCAAAGAAATGTACTGTGCACCTCGAATATACGTAGACGTGGGACAGTGCGAAAAGTCGACCATATGTGGCCAAATTTACGTATTGGAAAACCTCACTTCGGCAAATTATGTCGATTTATTAGGCTTTATATACAAAGCGAGAAGTAAAAATATAAATCTCTCGGGAACATATTTACGATACTCGGATTGTCGCTAGATTTTTGGAAGTTAATACTGGCCTTTTTTGATAAATGTTTAGACGTGGGATCGTGTAATTTCATTACGGGATCGAACACAAAATGCGTATATTGAATTTTCTCTTATCAAATCTATATAACGCCGCCATTTTGAATTTATTTGGTGTAAGCTTAACGCGCATGCTTGTCAGCCATGTTGTCCTTCATTTCTGGCCAAATCTTAAAATCTTGAATATCTACAAAATTAATGATCATCTTTGCAGTCTATTTATGTATCATTGCATGAATTATGATCAAAATTTGCCAAACCTTTACAATTGTCATTTTATTCAAAATAAAGAATTGCTTAATTATAATACGCGAAACTCTTCAAAATTACACGTAAGTTACAAAAGGACGAACTATCGTGTTCACACTGTTTTTAACAAGGGAATTTCCGTATGGAATTGTCTTGATGAAGAAATTAAAAATCAAAAATAGTATTTTTCCTTTAAGAAAAAAGCAAAATTAAATTACTTGTTAATATAAATATTGTTAGCTAAAACATGTATTGTATATATTGAACCAATTTAGATTCATGTACTTTATTTTAATCAAAACAATATAGGGTCCTTATATCAAAACTCCAACAGGATTTCAAAAGGTCCCTTGCTCCTTTATATTATTGTATTTTAACTATATATCCATTGTAAATATTTTTTGGGCAAATATATTCTATTCTATTCTATTCTACTTTGAAGTAACATCAGAGCAAGGTCTAAATTTTAGACCTTGCTCTTTAAATTTTAGTTTCTAAATGATTCAGAGCGCATGGAGAGCTAGTATTAGTGATAGGAGAAAGTGTATCTGGTTACAGTTTCCAGTTGTCCGAGTGTGTATCATGGAAAAGTTGGAAAACATCAAACCGTAGCTTTGCCTATGTGTGAGACAGAGTACATTGCTCTCGCCTAAGCTGTACAGGAAGGGAAATTCTTGAGGCAATTATGCCTCGACCTAAAAGTTATTCAGGTAAGTAATTGCGTACTTGTAAATGTGGATAACCAAGGTGCGATGCAGCTAGCAAAGAACCCTATGTTCTAACTAACCTCAAATTTCACCCTCTGATTTTAAAATCCTTTCCACTGCTAGTTCTGAAGCAGATTTTCTCATTCGCCAAAGCCTCTTCATATCCAAGCTTGATCTTATTTTAAATGCCAACATTAGGTCAACATTTCTTGACCTATTCTAATGGCTTGCTAGGTCTTTGATTACTAATCATTATGTCTTTAATTTACTAATATTTCACATTTGACCTAATCACATTTATTTATTTATTTATTAACTTTACAATCATACCAAAAATATAACAATGATTGAAGGTATGGTCAACAGGACATGAGTCCCATGTAAAGACCAACCTGATACAATACAATAAGTAGACATACATTAAAGACAAGGACTAGAACACTATTTATATAGCTACATAAAAATTAATAGTTTAGATTATGAGCAACAGCTTAAGTTGAAAGAACGGCATTTAGAGCAGTAGGTTTTCCAAGTGCGCATTCTGTTAACATCGAAAGAAGAGTCTAATTGAGAAGAGTGGTGAGAATGGAGCTGGAACTTAAAGGATGAAACAGACAAACTGTTACGAATGATTGAAGAGAGATTGTTCCATAGAAAAACAATTCGGTTAAAAAAAGAGTTTCTAAAACGAAAGGTTTTTCACGGATTGACTTGAAGCAAGTTGTCCTTGCTTGAACGGGTGCGAGATGAGCGATTAGAAGAAAAGGTGACAAAAGAGGAGATATCTAGGTCGTAAAGGCCTTGTTTGCATTTGAAAAAAAAGATGAGATCCTTTATTTCAAGCCAGTAAGATATAGGCAATAAATTAAGTTTCCTAAGACGCTGAAGATAAGACAACTCATAATCTTGAAGTATAAGTTTAGTAGCTCGTCTCTGAACACCCTCCAGGATCGCAAGATCGCGTGACGAGGCTTGAGGTGCCCAGATCTCACTGGCGTAAGACAGGTGAGATCGGACAAGAGAGAGGTAGAGAAGCCGACGGCAGCGAGTATCAGTTATTTGAGAACAATGTCTCCGAAGAAAACCAAGCAAACGATGGCTTTAGCAGTACAGCTGGCAATGTGAGGGGACCACTTAAGGTCATTGCTCACAACCACACCCAGGTCGACTTGTTTGACTTGTTTATTTCATTGGATGAACCTGTATATATGAGACAATTAAGGTGAAAAACAATTTTAGCAAAATACCTCACATACTGAAATTTGACGATGATCGTTGGCGAACAGTATCACTCAAAAACCAAATATTTATACTTTGTTCTGCATGGAAAACAAACACTTGTACTGCAAATTTAATATTCCACCAATATTACGTTCCCGCTCGAGGTTATTTGCCATCAAAAACACACATTTTGCAAGAAACGTCTTTTTGGGCCATGTTTCGGTGAAGAATTCTTGACTGCTAATTTCCCGATTGCGACGAGTAATTATGATTGTACGAGAAATAGGGCAGCGTAACATGCCTTTTCACAATTTTTGCTGGCACAACGAAAGCGTCCGCGATAAACTTGGTCACGAAAGTTTTTCCACCTGTTCAGCAGATGCGCTATCCATCCTTATTTCAGTGTCTGACGACACCATCCCGTCACAAACGAACGATCACTTTGGCAGTTTTTATTCCGCAATCTTGAACATTTCAATTGTTGAATAAAATTCGGTTTGTGCGCATGCCAAAAAAAACAAACAAACCGGGATGTGTTTCTTGAAGGTAAACTTATCACATATCCTGAAAAAGTTAAAATAGCATATATGAAAGATATTATATCACCATATCCGCTACATTAACTAATTATTCAATATCAGAAACGTCGAGAACCGAACAAATCCAGCCAAATTTAATAGTTTGTCGAATCATAGCGTATAATTATATAATTATTATAATTGTTATGAATCATAGCGTATAATTATAAATTTCACGAGTTGTAATCAAATTCATTCAACTCTTACAATTTGTACAGTGAAAAGAAAATTGAAACAATAACAGCTTCACAACATAAGCGTAGTTCACATAAAATCAGTGATCGACGAAAACTATCGTCGGCAGTCTGCGATCACTACGAGCTTATGCGAACACAATCGGCGACTGTCTGCGACGAAATTATATCCCACAATGCAGTGCAACTTGTAAAAAAGACAGAGGACGATCTAGGAACACAGAACAGAGATGAAATGCTGAAGTTAAAAGTGATTTTAATGTGAACAATACGTCGGCGAATAATCGATCGGGAGACAGTCGGAGATATCTGCGATATATTCGCTATTGCTTAAAGTGCCTATGACACGAAATTTTCCCCCAAATGTTTATGATTGCATTGTAAAGATCACTTAAAATGACTTAATAATTTCTTTTATAGAATTTTGGTAACTTTCTCTCTTTCCAAGATATTCAACTTTGTTTCAAATGCAAATATCACCGGTGTGACATCACATCACATAATGAATTTTCAGAAAAGTATAGTTTTCTTGACGAATATGACAATACGTATCTAAAAAACTTAAAAATTGTCCTTGTATATGTATTAATTTCATAACTGGTAATTAACCCTCCATTAAAATATTTTATCAAGGTAAAATATTGCGTTTTCAAAATGTCATTATGCGATGTGATGTCACACCGGTGATATTTGCGTATGAAACAAAGTTGAATATCCTGCAAAGGAAGCAAGTTACCAAAATTATATAAAAGAAACTATTAAGTCATTTAAAGTAATATTTACAATGCAATCATAAACATTTCGGGTGAAATTTCGTGTCATAGGCACTTTAACAATTTTATGCGAGCTAGGTTTTACAGGTTTTTTAAACCTTGCTTCTTCTGTTTCTGGCAAACAACATATTATATTGAGATCAGTGAAATGATCACCCATATACTGGCACCAGAACATGCAACACTGAAACACAACCATAAGCACGTTATAATTGATAAACTTTTCAATCCGCTAAACTTCTTGTACAGAATCAGCACCATCGCCTTGAGTTTTGCGCGTGGTTCCGAGACTAACAACTGTATTCTAAAAGCTCACTCACACTCGAAAAGTGGAGGTTCAACATATGAGCTTTCCTTGAGTGTCAGTGCTATATTTGAACAGCTGGAGGGTTAGTCTTGTACCTTACTATGTGGCTACTAACACCCCAGCTATTCAAAAACATCATTCATACTTAGGGAAAGCTCATGTTGAACCTCCACTACTTGAGTGTAAGTGTGAGTGAGCTTTTGCAATACAGGCGTAAGCATCGTGGGCCGCTATTTTCAAGCAGGACACTATTTTCAAGAACTAGCAAAGATTTCATCCAGTTAGTTTGCAAGCTAAAACTAATATTTTATTTATCATTGCAGAATGATAATAAATCTTGGAATCATTTACCTGTTGTTGATAATTTCATATTGCAACCAGTTTGCCAATGCTCAGTTTTGTTCCGGAAATGGCTTGACGGGTTGCGCTTGTAATTTTATAAAGGCCTGTGCGTGGAATGATGGAAAGAGAAATTTTGAAGTTATTAAAGGTTACACTCCAGCAGATCTAAAGCGGTTCCTTCCAAGTGGCTTAGAAGTATTCGCCAAGGATAAAACAAAAATAACAGAAATTTGTGAACCTGGCTCAATTGGTATCTTTTATGATTGCAAAAATCGGATTCCCCTTGCCGCCACGATAGTTGTGACTGCAAAACAGTACGAGAGTGGTTACAAAAGAGTGGGGAGTTTCAAAGGTAGTAAAAATATTGACCCATATTTTCAACAAAATGACGACGACTATGCTGAAGCTTCAAAAAGAATTCCATGTTACAATACCCAAGGAAGTACTGCAATGTTCGTTGAAAAAGACTGGTTTCTTAAGTTAACAGGACAAAATTGCTTACCTGGCACTGCATGTAAAGCAGGAATAGCTAAGTCTCCAGTCGACAGGGGTCACCTCGTTGCCGCACATTATGGTCTTGGACCTCCTGGTAATGATAGAATAGAAGAGACATCTGTTTTCACAAATGCAGTTCCACAATTTGCAAAACCAAATAGAGGGAGATGGAATAAATTTGAAGGCAAAGTTATTCTATGGGCAAGAGAGAACTGTAGAGGACGCCCGGTACATATCATTGTTGGCAGTATACCTTCAACATTTGCAGCTAATAAAAACCGATTTTTTGGTTTACAGGGATTTAGCGACTACTTCAGTGATATTGAGGGCTATAGAGTTAATGTGCCTGCATACCTTTGGACAGCAGCGTGTTGCTATTCCCCGGGCTCTTTCACCAAAAGCACTTTCTTTATTGCAAAAAACCAACCAGGAACAGAACTGGGGAGGCCTAAAACATTCAATGAATTATTTTCTTTCATTGGTGACCGTCCAAGTGGGCCAGCAAAGAATGTAAAGCTTTTTCCACAATGGCCAGATTGCCACGATGATACAAATTTGGTCGAAATTATATATTAATACCTCAATAGGTTTCTAACAGTAAATATAAAAAAGTGATATGAACATCACCATAAAATAAGCAAAAACGTAAGCAGGAAGAACGTAAGTTAAAAACGTAAGCAGTTTATCATTTAAAGACAGAAATTAATAAATTTGATACTTTTTAACAATCAAATATTTTTAGTCCAAATTATAAACAATGACTCAATATAATGTTATTTAAATTTATATAATTATAAAAGTAGACTCTAGATATTCCAAAACTAACCTCTGTACGCTTTCGTTCACAATGTAGAGCTGCTTCATTTCTTCAAATTTCCTGAGAATATTCGTGCAGTAATGGTAAATCGTGAATATTTTGAGTTGATTTATATCGATTTTGCATGAAAGTAGCAAAACGAGCCGGCGTGTACAAAACGCAGGTTGCAGGTTGGAATTTCGCAAGTTAGGAATTTTACAGGTAGGAATTTTGCAGGTTTGCGATTTTGCATGTTGGAGTTTTGCAGGTTGCCAGGAATTTTGCAGGTTGATGATGCAAACTTAAAATTACACCACTATAAAGTATTCTAGTATAATTTAATTGTGTATTTATTGCAGTCTGACTCCTTGTTGATATCAGCCTACAGGTATACTGCTACCATGTTCCTATCCTCTGCTCTAAGGAGTGCCATAACCCTCGTGAAAACATTCAAAATGACTAGATTGGCTTGGACATTGAGGGGAACGAATGTTTCGATTGTTGTAGCGAGCCTAAATGAGGTGGTGGCAGTTCAGAAAATGCCTGAATGAGGTCTGTCCCTCTGCAGCCACTTATGAGAAGTCCACTCAAGTCCCGAATTACCGTATCATTACCCGAGGTTTAGTTAATTTAACTTTTAACCGCATTCTAGTATAAACGCCGCCATGTTATGTAGGCACCTCGCAACAATCAAAACATTCGTCTCCCTGTAGGTCCAAGCCAATCTGGACATTGTGGAATGTTTAGTCAGACTGCAATAAATACACAACGAAATTATACTAGAATACTAAAAAAATAGTGTCATTTTAAGTTTGCATTATCAACCTGCAAATTTCCTGGCAACCTGAAAAATTCCAACCTGCAAAATCCCCAACCTACAAAATTCCAACATGCAAAATTCCAACCTGCAACCTACGTTTTGTACCTGCCGCAAAACGAGCTCGTGTTGATAAACAAAGTCTGTGGCTCACTCCTTCTGAATTGTAAATCCATTTTCGCGACGTTATAAAGCCTTATTACTCCAAATTTGTTGCTCAAAATTCTTCCTGTATGCTCCTATCTCTGTGATTGTAAAATTAGCCCGGTCAGAAACGTAACCAAGGCAAAAAACGTGCAAAACTACCGTCTGCAATACAAATCTATACAAAGTGGCATGAGACTACGCTACAACGCTTCTACGCTTACCACGCTACTACCGTAATATCTTACTACCTTACCATCTTGATACACTTACTATACGCTACAAAATTACTACGACCCGACTACCTTACTCTGGCTACTATACCTTACTACATTTCTACCTTACTACGTTACTGTGTTAGATTTATAGTCAAGAAACACTAGAACTTTTATTTGAATTAAGTATGAATAATATTGCATTTCGTTCGTATAACATGCATGGATCGAGGTAGTTCAAAATTATATAAAAATGTCTCCGTTGAAATGTTATCTATATGCTACATTGCTACCACGCCATAATTACTGCTTAAGAATTACTGGCTAAAATGAAAAATGGCAAGTATTACCCGCATGCGTCACTTGTCGTTCAGGATAAACAAACAAACAAGATAAATAGATAAACCTGAGGCGCCAACACAAGTGGGATTTATAACAACTTAATTTAATATAGTTTGATGAAATGATAAATGTACAATGTTTATAATTGAAAGAATACACTGAGAGTGAAACGCACAGACGGTTAAATCTATGCAGTTGAAAAGTAATTGAAAGAAAGAGATATTATAATTAATTAATTAAGTCCCGTTCTACTGCGCGTACTGCGCGTAGTAAGATTCTTTTTTACGAAATGCCGCCCATATTTCTCGCCGGGTATAAAAAGTGGGGTTTTCTTCAAGTATCCAATGAACCTTGACTAGTGACTTTAAACCCAAACTTGTTTTTCTCAACATCCCATCGTACTCCCAAAGCACGATCTACGGGTAGCTTATCCAAATCTAAGTCCACAATAGTTGAAGCTCTTTCTTTTTCTGGGATAACACTCATTACCTCTCGGCGATTCGAATTCCACTTTGTAAGATGGAACCCACCTTTCTCCAATAACTTGGGAAGTTCTTATACAATAGTTAAAGCGTTCTCGACTGATGGTGCCGACTTGAAACAATCGTCAACACAAAAGTTTCGATTTAAAGTGTCAATCATCTGGATGTCAAATTAACCTTGGTTATCAGTTGCGGTCTTCTTAAGTGCATAACTCGCGCAACTTGGGGCCAAACAGATGTACCAGCATTTGATAATCTTGCTGTTCTTTAGATAAATCGCCGTCTGGTCACCACAGAAAGCGGAAAGCATCGCTATCTTTGGGGTCCACTGTAACCTGAGGGAACATCTGTTTGATGTTAGACATTACTGCTACTGGTTCTTGGCGAAATCGTATAAGAACACCTACCAGTGAATTCGTCAGATCGGGATCGCTAGCTCAACAACTCGTCATTGAGAGATGTTCCTTTGTAACGCGCTGAACAATCGAATACAACCCTCAGTTTATCTGGCTTAATCACAGGGTGATGCGGAAAATACCAGACTGGTTTTTTCTTTGAATCGTCACTAAGATTGACGAGAACTTTTCTAGCGTGACCTCTCTTTATGTAATGATTGATCACATCTCTGTACTTCACCCGGAGTGATTCATCTTTCTTCAACCGATTCTGTAACAAGCGTAGTCTTCTCTCGGCCATCGATATGTTGTTTTGAAGTCTTTGCTGTTCTTCCCATCTCTGATTAACTCTGAAAGCTCGCCAAACGATCCGTTTGATGTTGTCGACTGTTCTTCCCATCTCTGATTAACTCTTTCCAAATTAACCGCTGGTCCAGTAGAGTGCCGTGTATTGTGTTGATGCAGCAAGCCTAACTGAGAGAAATCGTCCATAGCCCCTGAATAAGCTTCCCATGTACCGCTTTATAGTTCAGCTGCGTGGAGTTCAACAAACAATTACGCATATCCCGAGCCAATTGCATTAACTTCTCTGGTTCACCAGGCTTAATCTGTGGACCTTTTGTAACTCTTTCAATAAATGCGCGAATGATTATATGTTTTTGTCCAAAGTTCTTCCTTAAGATCTCTTTAGCCTTTGCATAACCTTCATCTGAAGGTAAAATCACACAATTTTCGATTGGTTCTCTTGCTGGACCACTCGTATATTGAATCAAAAAAGACAGTTTAACGCTTGCTTCTTGTACTCTGTTTTCCACATTTAGCTCGAAATTCCTAATGAATCTTGTATAATTTACTGGATTACCATCGAAACTCTCTCTTCGGCAATTCCATTCCTGTCGTGAATCTTTCTACTGTCGCTAGTTGTCTTTCCATCAGCAGGGTTTGACGTTCTAAGATCCAGTGCAATTCAGACTTCTCAGTATAGACATTGTCACCAAAGTTTTGTGTTGTCTGTTCTTTAGTTACTTTACGGTTAACTCTGACATCTTTGTCCACATCAACAGTTTTTAGGTCTTTGTTAACCAAATCAGCCATTGTTCTATTAAAAGGTCTTAAATTTTCTGTAAGATTGTTTGTTTCATGATGCGTTTCAGCATGTCGGTTATGCTGTTTAGATAACACATTTAAATTACGCACCATTCCGAATAAATTCGAATGAATTCGGTATATCTCAATACTTCGCTTTCTCGTAATTTTTGAACCGTTTTTTCATCTTCTTCTCGCTCTAAACATTCCCTATATTTCACGCTTACTTCTTTATGGCTTTCAAATTGGCTGCTTAAAGCGTCCCGTCTACTAATAGTCTCCGCATATTTATTTGGATCGCTCATCGATTCTTTAAGTTCTCGATAAGACCTTGTTAAATGACCCGATATTCCGACAGCGCATTCTTAAAATTATTAAGTCTTTCGTTAAGAACAAAGTCTTGATTCGACATTGTATCCGCTTGGCATTCCCTACGGTCTCGAAGTTCCTTGACTTAAAGTTCGAATATTCAAACCGTACACTTTTGCTTAATTGTTACTCTTGTCATAAATAAGTAGACAAACATTATACATTGATAACATGAAGTATTGACTGTTTTCGCGCCTTTTTTCATGGACCCCATGTTGTTATTCCACGTTATTATCGAAAGAACCTATATTAATCTAAACAACATACCAATAAATACCTGAAATAATGGTGCCGTGACCAGGATGGAAGAACAACAACGTCTAATAGCATCACGGAGAGCACGCAGAGCACATTTAACGAAGGTATTGAAGAAAATTACGGAACTAAAAGAAGCAGAAGACGATCAAAATGAACAGCATGCTATGGTGACACTTGGCAGTTACTTAGAGCAACTCCAACGGAAAGGACAAGTACTATCAGAACTAGACAATAAGATATTTGAACTATTCACAAAACCTGAAGATTTGGAAACAGATATTATCGAGGCAGAAGACACACAGAGTTTTATCGCAGAGACAATTTGTACAACTAAAAATTATATTGAGAACAAAACCTTATCCCATACCTGTGTTAAAAGCGGCTTTCTGATTGGTTTAGAGCAGGTGAGCTTGTCGTCGAGCTCACATGCTTTTTGCCGAACTCACCTGCATTTCGCCCGAAGTCACCCGCTAAACTGCTTACGTTGCAATAACAATAACAAATATGGCGGACAAGATTTAGCCGATAAACCTAAACTTTAAAGAACTTCTTTCGGTGAGCCGTGACGAGCAGAGGGCCGAGTGACGAGCCGTGACGAGCAGACGTGTGCTTTTCTGCTCCGCTGTATTTGTATTATTTGTATTCGTTTGATAAGAAATATGCCACCAAAAAAGAGAAATATTGCTACTGAGAAGACTGCTTCAAGAATTGAAGACAAATCTGATGTTATTGCAGAAGATTCCCATACAATTGATCAAAATGATGAAGTACGAAGTGATCTTGAATCGTTTCTTGATAGACGCCTACAACAACAGACTAAATCAATTAACGAAATGTTCGAAAAGTTTACAACTTCTACTAAATCGGATTTGGATGATATTAAAGCCAGTCAAGAATTCATTAGCTCTAAGTTTGATGAGCTAGCTAATTCAGTTGATATCTTGAAGGCTGAAAATCATGAGTTACGTTCACAAAACGAGTCGTTTAAGAAGAGAATTGATAACCTTGAGGGTTATGTTACAACACTTGACGTCGATTTGGAAAGCCTCAGAGAATATATTCGAAGAGATATGCTTGAGATACATGGAGTCCCAATTTCGACTGGGGAAAATACAAACGAAATTATTATTGCAATTGGACAATTGTTAGGTGTGATATTAGGAGTTTGCAACGAAATTTTGATAATTTTTCAAATCTTTTGTTAAAAATTAATATTAATTTTACTTTTATTGGACTTTCTGAAACTTGGCTTAAAGACTCAGAAACTTTAATGGATATACCTGGTTATAGATTTATTCATAACCCCCGTCATAATAGAACAGGTGGTGGTGTCGGATTATATTTTTCTGATCATTTGAATTTCAAATTGCGAAGTGATTTATGTTATGATGATATTGAATGTGCCGAATCATTGTTTATCGAAGTTTTAAAACCCAAGGGAAAAACATTGTTATAGGTGTTGTTTATCGTCCCCCGGCTAGTGATGTTAATGCTTTCGTTCAAAATACCGATACTTTAATCACTAAAATTGCTAGAGAAAATAAAATTTGTTACCTAATGGGTGATTTTAATATTAATTTATTGAACTATAAAAATCATGAATTAACATGAGTTCCTAGATATTATGTACTCTAATATGTTTTTTCCTTTAATAACACGACCCACTAGAATTACTTCATTTAATGCCACATTAATTGATAACATATTTACTAACGACCTGGATAATTGCTTGTTTAGTGGCTTGATTTTCACTGATATATCCGATCATCTACCTGTTTTTAGTTTATTGTATATCCAAGACGAGTTTAACAAAGCGAATGAAAATTCATATGCGGTTTACCGGGAATATAATAACGAAAATTTGCAAAAACTTCGTATTGAATTAGCAAACGTTAACTGGATGACATTCTGTGGATCTACCGACCCAAACAATTCTTACAATGAATTTTTACGTGAATATTCTCGGGTGTTTAATTCATGTTTCCCTTTGAAAAAAAAGACCAAAAAAGTAGATCAACTTTGTAAGTCGTGGATGACCAAAGGACTTTTAAAGTCGATAAAAAAGAAAAATAATCTTTATAGGAAATATTTACGGAAACCTACGTGCGAAAATAATACGATATACAAAAATTACAAAAATAAACTCAACCGCTCTATTCGGATAGCCAAACGTTTATATTTTGAAAATAAATTAAGAAATTCCACCTCGAACATCAAACAAACGTGGCAGATACTTAATGAGGTGACAAATAGAAAGAAATCTCGAAATAACTTTCCTTCTATATTTTCTTGTGATAATCAAGATTTTTCTGATCCAACCGCT